GCATTCCTACTTCCGTAGTGATACTGCCTCGGAAACCCAAGGAGGGGTCGCTATGAGTCGGGGCCGACTCAATGGCAAATAACAACAACAACAAGGGAAGCAACAAAATCATGGGAAAACCAAGAGAAAACATTTTTAAGTCAAAGAGCTATTCATTCTGTGAATTCGAGCACTGTGGATTCACACACTCTGTGACTAACTGACACATGGGAGAGGAATCCAGTCTTAAGTTTGCCCTCCCCCTCCCCCTCCTTCCATTCCTAGTTAGTCATCATTTCCTGCCCAATCTATCTGAGGTATCTCTTCCATTCATTCTTTTCTGGTACCATCAATCTGATGCAGGTCCAGAATCTCTCTTCTCACCTGGCCTCCTGTCTCCTTCTTTTTTATGTGCCAGAAGAGCATGGCAACCAATGAAGGCACCAAAATCTGTTGCCAGCTAGTTAATTATTCCCATTCTACCTTATAGGATAGAGTAGAATGAGGCAATTTGCTTGGGCAAAGATTTAAAGGCTTGGAAATTCTATAGGGAAGTTCTACTCTGTCCTACAGGGTCCCTGAGTAGGTGGGCAGTGGGTTTGGTTTTTAAATATCTCCCACTCCTTAGCTTTCATTCTACATACAGGCATTGTTTTCCCAAATATACCAAGGATTTTTCTGCTTATTTGCTTTTTTCGTGTATAAATCCCCCCTCCTTCCATTTCCACATGTGTGCATTCTAGATCTCACTCAACACTAAGATACCTGCCCAACTTTGCTCAGAAAACGTTTCTCCATCTCACCTCTCTTCACTCTTGGCCTGTTATAACCTTTATCACCAACCTAATGGAATCTTATTGCACAGATCTTAATCTGCCTTTTAGAAATTTATGGTCTGATTTGTCTTGCCACCTTTACCCCTTTGCCTGAGGAAAGGGGCATCTTTGAGGAGACTTTGTCACCGTTGCTCTCGCACTTAGCCGGTGCTTTAAGGTGTTTACTTTCATTGAACATAATCACACCCTGCCTCAATGGTCGGTGGAGAACTCCCTTTGCTGTAAGTCACACATACGTGAGCACGTACACATTCACTGTCTCCCACCTGGGTACACACGTGTTACTGGGCTAGAGCCCTGGAGCGGTTTCTGGATTCCCATTCTGTGGGCGCTTCCATTTCAGCCCGCAGGAAGGGAGGCTGCTTCTTTAAAACCACTCCCACAAATACTTGTTACTTTAAACTTCCTACAGACACCACCCTATATAATAGCTGAAGACACCCTTCCTTTGAAAACAGTATTACTCCGGGTATAGTATTACAGTCTGGTGGCGCCAGGATCCGGTCCCACGAACCCCTCTTTTCCCTCCCTCTTGGTAGCGCCCATTTTGTCAGTGCATTTGGCTCGCCGGTTTTCCTCCAGCTCCATCGAGCCGCCGGCAGACCTATCGTTATCGCTGCTGCTGCTCCGGTGTCTCCTTCTCTGGCCTTTTTCCAGGGTCTGGGAGCATCCACTCGGACGGCCCAAGGGGGTCCTCTCGACTTCCCGGCCTCGGCCGGGCTCCGCTCCTCCGGCGCACGAGGAGGGGCCGTGGCTGTGGTGGCGACAGTGCCCGGCATGTATCAGAGCCCGCGGCGGCTCTGCTCCGCCCTGCTGCAGAGGGACGCGCCCGGCCTGCGCCGCCTGTCCACTCCCAGGCTGCGCCGCCAGTCGTCCCCGCCGGCGGCCGCTCCCCGTCCAGCGTCTCCCCGGTTTCTGGCGGCGGTCTCGGCGGCCTCGGGCGCCGCGAGGTCGTGTTCTGGAACAGGTGAGTGCGCGGCGGTTCCCGACACAGAACGCAGAGGCTGCGAACTCTGGGCCGCCACCAGGAGACCGTGCGGAATGAATGAGAAACCTCGGGTTGCGGGGTTGGGGCGGGGGCGGGCAGGAATTGCTCTCGCTGAGCAGTTGTCTCTTCTCGCTTTTTTTCCTCTTTCCTCTTGCCCTACCTAGCTTGGGGCTTACAACACGTATGGTAAGGACCGGTACACTGTGTTCAGGTTCCAGTTTGATCCTTGGATGCAGTGCTTTCCGTAGTTCTCGCTCTTAAACTACGTTAAATGTCCCCTTTCCAAGGCCGCAAATTATTTGTATTGGCTATACTTTTTATTATTGCTACTTGTGGAAATTTTTATGCAAAAAAAAAAAAAAATGACAGTTGATCATGTGGCTTGCATAGCCTAGATGATCTTTTTTTTTTTTTTTTGAGTCGTGTTAACAATATATTGATTCATTATCTGTTTATTTGGATTTTTTTTTTTTTTCCAAGCCTTCTCCTCGTAATACTTCTGTCATTTTGTGTCCTTATACCTGGGTTAAGATTTTGTAAAGCTGATGCTTTCTGTTTGCCAAGAGCTAGTTTTATGCAGCATTTAAAGCCCTAGACTTTTCCCTCCTCTGCTACCTTAGTTTCTGCCTGAGGACACATTACAATGGCCACAAATTATACAGAAATTAATCATGCTTTTAAAATTGAGAAGCGAAGTTTCGCTTTCAAAGCTGACAATTACTTTTCACACTAGAAAATGTGTTTTGCCTGCACTTAAGTTGTTATTGCTGTTTAAGATAATTGTGTAACCATTCTAGATTATAACCAAGTACATTTTGCTCAGAAAATTTTTTAATTCATTTAAGAACAAGTCGAGCAGTAGGAAGAATGTATAAAGGTTCATGGTGGCTTGCTTTAATTGATAAAAGTGATCCAAAATGTAATTCTGTTGAGATGATTGGTAGATGCTTAGGCTAGGATATCCTTTTAAAATTAGGATGTTAAACTAGTTACTCGGAGACTCTGAATTCTATATTGTTCTTTTAGAAAGATTGAACTTGACAGATTTTTTTCCCTTCAGTTCTGTAGGAATTTGGCACAATTGGGAAATAACTATTAGAATGGGCACCACCTAATAACTGTTAGTGTTGATTTTGAAATTTTCAAGTGAAACGTTTTTAAGGTGCCAGAAATAAAAGTGAAACCAATTGGTATCTTCTATACTATCTTACATCATAAATTCCTTCAAACCCCTTCAAAGGCAGGGTTAGTCAGTAGATAAGTCTTGGGAATACAAATAAAGTAGCTTATGTAATACAGATGTAGATAGCTGTGCTGTTAGCTGGGAGTAAATGTTCAAGTCAGAACATCTGCAGTGTTAGGCTTTTGACATAGGGAAGGTCTAATAAAGTTTTTTAAAAGTTTTCTTCAGCAGATAAATTGAAGGGGAGCTCTGGTAGCATAGTGGCTAAAGCACTTGACTGCTAACCAGAAGGCTGGAGATTCAAACCCACCAGCCACTTCTAAGAAGAAAGGTTGGGCAATCTACTTCTGCAGTGATACTGCCTTGGAAACCCAAGGAGGGGTTGCTATGAGTTGGGTCTGACTGGACGGCAACAACAACAACAACAACATGGTGCTTAAACTACTGCAGACAATTACAATAAAGTCTAGGCAGTTTCCTGCTTCCTGCACTTTTACTAAACTTCAGCAACTATTGGAAGTAACGTATGGGAATGCATTCATTCATTGCTTGACCACTCATTCATTCATGGGGTTTTCACTGAGTGTCTCATACACTGTAGGTGCTTTACTGTTGGATGTAAACAGATACAGGCTTTAGTCAGCCATTGAGGAGTTTACTGCCCAATAAGAGACATGAGATTTGCACAAAGAATGGCTGATGAAATGAAACACCTTTTATTCTTTTGTAGTTAAAAGTTTGCAAATGGCACTGGATTCAGGAGAGCAGGAAGTCCCTTTCAGCAACAGAATCCTTTTAGGCTTCAAGAAGTAGTTGACATTTGAGCTGGGCCTTGAAGCATGGTTAAGATTGAAAGAATAATATAGAGAGCATTTTGTTTGGAAAAAGCACAAGTGAAAGGGGCAAAGCATGAGGCACGGATGAAGAGTGAGAGAAGAGGCAAGACCAGCATTGGATGCTTTTAAAGAAATGTAGCACCTTGGGTCCTACCTTTTTGTTTTATGCGCTGTCTAGTCACACCTGACTCATAGTGAGCCCTCCTGGGGTTTCTGAGGCAGTATCACTACAGAAGTAGGTTGCTCAACCTTCCTTCTGAGGAGTGGCTGGTGGGTTTGAACTGCCAGCCTTCTGGTTAGCAGTCAAGTGCCTTAGGCACTGTGCTACCAGAGCTCCCAGCTCCTACCTTAGATCTGTTGAATCTAAATCATAAAGGTAAGCCCCAGATTCCACATTACTAAGCAAAATAACAAGGCAACTCTCCAGATTATCCTTCTGTGTTCCAGAGCTTGGACATCTGGCACCCATGTGAGAGAGAGGCCTTGAGGGAGCTAAAAGCCACTCTCCCCTTCAGGGTTTTTTTGGGGGGAGAGGGAGGAGTAATGAGTTCCAACACTTTGCCTCCTTTGATAATCCATTAAGGGTTCCTATTTATGTTCCCTTGGCAACAAATTACTCGGAAAATGATTATAGTCCTTTTGGAGTCATCAAATCATAGGTTGTTAGGAATTGAGGGGAACCTTGGAGATGATCTTATGTAGAATTTTGCTGTGTTTTTTCAAGCAAGGACAGCAGCCCCCATACAAAGACAGCAGTTGCTACACTGCTGGCTGAAATGGTAGTCGGGAATCATCTGTGGGTTTATAAATGCTGTCCTTCAGATCCCTCCTCAGATAATGAGGAGTTGGCTGAATTACTGTTTTCCACTATTGGAACATGTTGTCTTTTTTTTCTTGGTACAATTTTAAAGGCAAATACCAGCTCATTTGAAGAGGTGGCTTTATTTAGTATGTCTCTTAACTATGTGACTAAGCTGCATATGAGAGAGGAGTGGGAAAGCTTGTAATTATCAAGCTGAATAAATTGCTTTGCTTGTGGGAGAACTAAGATGTCATGTAGCTTTCGGTGATAAGTACAGTGAACTATTCGGAACTTTTGAGTTAATAACCCTGTCTCCAGAATCATATGTATATGTGAACGTTTGCAAATCATTTAATCTTGCTTGATGTCTCTTAACAACACTGAACTATACCTAGAAAGAAGGAATAAGTAAGATAAATTGATATCCACAAGCTTTATTGAGCCCTTAAAAGGTCAAATATTAAATTGTGCCTTGTGACCATCATTGTGGCAGGAATTCAGAAGAAAGGGAAATCATTGTGGGTGGGTTTGTTGGAAAGACTGCTTTGAACAGGTGAAAGGAAGGTATTTGATGGGAGGGATTTGGGGGGGGCACGGAAAGAAGACTAAACAGTGTCTGGAAGATGAGAGCTATGTCACCATTGGAAAAGGGCAGTATGGCTTTTCACGTGCTTCCCAGAATCACTTTGACTCCTGTTGAAATACAGATTTCTGGGCTTTTAAAATACAGATCTACTGTTGGGAGCTCTGGTATCTAAGTGCCTAAGACACTTGACTGCTAACCAAAAGGCTGGTGGTTCAAACCTGCCAGCCACTGCTCAGAGGGAAGGTTGCGCAATCTACTTCCATAGTGATACTGCCTCTCAGAAACCCAAGGGGAGGGGTCCCTGTGAGTCAGGTCTGACTTGATGGCGCATAACAACAACAACAACTTGAACAACCACAACAAAAACAACAACTTGAATCTGTTTCCTGAGGTGAAACTTGATTAACAAGTGCCCCAGGTGATTCTTTTTGGAAAGCATTGTACAAGCCCCATCCCTCCTCTGAAAGTGCTTATCTCTGGAAAGTTTGAGAAATCCTGAAAAAGTCTCTGGAAGAGTGTTAAATCTTTGGGCTTGGGGCTAAGGAATTCTGGAGACCCTTGAGCTAGATAGACCACTTACTTAAACAAAAGCAGGCTTTAAGGAAATTATTTGGTTTTGGATGGCACAAATGGTTGAATGCTAGGCTACTTAACCAAAGAGAAGTAAGACAATTATATTCTGATTTCTTAGAAGGAGGTGGAGGAAAAGAGCCTCACAGCACCTATATTTGCTATTAGGAGTCACTCCTCTGACTAATCAGAATTTATAGGGCCTTGGTGGCCACTTAAAGTAGTTATCTTAGTGGAATAAATACTTAGAAATTTGAAGGATGAGGTGCATGGGTGTTTGGTCCCACAGTAGACCTACTTGAACTTTTATGGACAGCAGCTATTTTGGACTTGTCATTCTTAAAATAGGGGAAAAAAAATCAGCCTTCCCAGAGGAAGGAGTTAGACAAGTGAAAAACCTCATCTGTCCTTTTGTCTCTACCTGGTCTCAAAGCAACACCTGAAACATACGGTTACCATGAATTCATAGTGGCAGGGATGCTGGCAGAGTTCCCAGGAGAAAGAGGGTGAAAGAAAGTTAGTGCCATCAGCTTTGGATATTTCTGTAAAGTATTTTTTCCTCCTGGTATCAAACAAACCGAGCAACCTGGATTATAATATTGGCCAGGTGAGGTCTGGGCATCTAGTGATTATTCTGATATACAGCCAGGGTGGACACCATTTACTGGCAATACAACGGGATACTTTGTGGGGAAAGTTGTTTTACTAAATGTTTGGAATCCTGCCATAAGTTTGTTACTAATACATCAATTAAGAGACTGCTGTGAAATTATGGCAGGTTGGTGGGTAGCACAAACAGTTTGCACTCTGTGCTAACCTCAGGGTTGACGATTCGAACCCATCCATCAGTGCCATGGAAGGAAGACCTTACTCTCTGATTCTGTGAAGATTATAGCCAAGAAAGCAGTTCTACTCTGTGTTACATGTGTAACCATGAATTAGAATAACTCAGTGGTGATGGATACTGAATTATGGGGAATTGTGCAGAAAGAAAAAATATTA